CCCTGTTTCCCTGTAATTTAATGCGATAGAAATACACGTAAATGCATCGAGTACAGGTACACACTACATTGACCCCTATGAGAACGGATCCTACAGTACATTACACATGTGATCGAGCTGAAGTCCAGAGATCAAGCTCCAAACTAGAGTTGACTGTTCCCATGTGTATGCATTATTTAGTACGGATTCAAGACCTCGCTGTCAGAATTTACTTCGTTGATCCCCTCTTCCGGATAATCCAAACAGTATAGTAGTTGATAATCAGGCAAACATACGGTAACATCCGCCTTGAACCCGGATTCCTTTGCAACAATACCAAAGTAATTAATAGAGCGGGACAAAGAGCATCTCCCTTGGGTACTCCAAACACCCAATGACCATGCTGCATTATGTTGCTTACGATTGTCAGCGTATGTTCCAAACCCCTATGGGATTTTCGACAAACATGGCTTAATGAACAACCTACGCCATGATCGTAGCTGTGTCATAGGCAATGCCTTCTTGATGGAACCAGTTTCGGCTCAGTAGGTATCCTGGTATGGCCTGCATTGAGGCGGCTAACGAGCAATTCTCTGGCGCCCTTATGAGGCCTCTAATTAAACATCTCTTGACTCCTCCAAATGACAGTCGGCGGTCCTCTAACACAGCTGATGACAAAGTGCCCAGCTCTTGAAAGCAGACTCGATTTGATTTCATAACCACTCCTCTGTCAGTCAGAAACTCTGATTTAGTAAATGGGTTTTGAATCTACTTTTGTAAAACGGCTACTTCTCAATTTCAAAAAAGCAATGTACCGCTTGAGGGAAGAGCTTTGAGACAGTTATTGCCAATCTCGGAGTGTCGATATCAGTACATAGTGGTTAATTCTTTTGTAATTAGCATGTACTTGTCTAGAAAGAAGAAATACCCAACCCAAGTCCATCAATATGTTTAACAAATGGGATGTTCTTGTCACTCTAACTGGTGCGCTCTTTCACTCACTTGTCTGTTGACCTCTTGATAATGCAATACGTTTTGATGTGTGCGCTGAAGTGACGTAGCCCTCCCATTCTGCGCACGTTATTTATCTCATACTCTTTGCATTTACGCAAACCGGTATGGCCTTTGTGTATGTAGTCCTTGGTACAGCATTAAACACTTTTCACGACAATGCAAATGTGTTTGGCTCAACACAGTGATAAGTAGCAGGTGAATAGTATTAAACCGTTTCGATTGAAGATGATTAGTTCGAGAATGAGGTTCGATCGTTACAGTGAGTGAGTGAGTTTAATACGGAAGGAAAGCCAAAGGTTAATCAGATCTTAGACGGATCAGGTGGCAAACCAAGCATTATAATCCGGGCAAAATCCGGGTTTCAAACCCATCAGTTTTGGATCCTGGCGCTGGACGATCGAACCGATCGGATCCTGGACTGTCTAAGGGACGTAACACTACACAGCAAATTAAGGCGCCGTGGACGACTTTGCCTCCCGTTCCCCGCAGATAGTTTGAACCAAATACATAAGCATTTAATGTTCTGATGTAAAAAATGAATAAGTATAGAAGACATCACTCGAGTATCACAACCTTTTTATAACAATCTAAGTTTAAAATGCGTGGAAATCTCTACCTCTAAAATGAAGTGAATTGACCATGCTGTAGTGTTAGACACATAAACCAGAAGTTCTCATATGAGAAACACATTCTGTTGAGTTATCTATCACGGACTGGTTATCTCACCAGTTCAATCCAACTTGATTTAATCACCTCCGTTTTTAATGCGGTTTCAGTAAGTTATCCAACACCTTGGGATAACATGGTTTGTGTTCTCGGGCAGGCAGTTTCCCCCTCCAATCTGGGCGGTTGGCCCATGATCCGATTACCTCCAATGCTTCACTCTCCATTCTCCTTATACAGAGCAACTTTATCGCCTAGGTGTGAGTTAAGAGGGTGTTTCACACGTTGTGTGTTTACTGGATTGCGTCAAACGCCTATTGAGTCAACGTTGAACGTTCCATTGCGAAGCCGTGTTGACTCAGAGTGTTCGTTTACTACTCAATTATAGTTAGAAATTAATTACTCAAATGCTTTCAAGGATGAGATTTTTAAGTCTTTTTTGCAATCGACACGACAGCTTTGTTGAGCGTAACACGTGTTCTGTCTCGGCCTTGATTCATTGTTCGTGCTTACAAGACAAGTCACCGCAGGGAACATGTCGAAAATGCCCAATTACAAAGTCCACGGCCTGTAATTGGTTCCTTCGTGTTAGTATATAGCCACAAGGAACAAGGTCAGTTTTGATCAAATAGCTAACTGCCTACACACGGGTTAATTGTCGTAACAATTCCTGGAACAGCGGGATGTGGACTTGCACATCCTTCGAAAGCAAAAACATTTAATCACAGTCTAGATTAAACTCACAACTCTGAACCCTGATCATTGAACGTTTGTCCGTGGTTTCTTGGCCTGTGCACCGCTACTTCATCCAAATGACGACAGCCCCTGGAGCATCTTTCAATCAGTGGAAGACGGAGCAACACACGGGTACAGATAAACAAAGTCTGTCTGACTGAGATAACTGAAACTTCATCCCTGTTGATCCACACGTCATTTTCTACCTCGAGCTATGGGGAACATATTCCGTCTCATATCCAAGGCTTCTTTATGATGGAGGCTACGGAGGAAAATTGGAACAGGCTAGATTAGAAGTTACACGTTTCGTGTTCACCTTGTTCACCTTGTTCACCTTGTTCACCTCCGATGGTAGCAGCTAGCGTGCAGTCGTCACAGTGTTTCAGTTAAGAACATATGACCAACTGTCGGGTCGTGAACAAAAATCGCATGTACCCCAGGCGCGAGGTGATTCTCATTCCCGACCCTACATTACGAGTATGTTCTCAAGCTCAAAACAAATCCCTCCTTTCTAAAACTTAAAATACATCCCCGCGTTAAGACTTTGAAATAATGCTTTTTGTGGAAAGTAATTTTCATCTTTTTTTATACTGTGTGTTCCTCGATAAATGACTTAATGGTCAAGATGCGCCAATCGTCGCCTACAGTAGTGAGAAATAATGGATTGTTTGAACAAAAGAATGACGACAAACGTGACCGACCATTTGCTATTAGGGGGAAAAGGGGACTTGGGATTGTAATTACCAAAACATTGTTGCAAGATTTTTATAATATAATTTTAATAATTAGACTAATACTTTTAATGAAATATCATGTCTCCATAGTAAATGCCCGGTAGCCGTACCTGAATATCAAATGGTCGGTCCCTAAGTATGTCAAAATGCCGCTTGTTTGGCAGTGAAGGTCATTTAGTGATGTATGGTCTGATTTGGCAAGGCGACCATGGAAGTTTTGTTTGTTGTTTAACGCCGCACGCAGCAATATTCCAGCTATCTGTAAATAATCGCGTCTGGGCAGTACAATCCAGTGATTGATATAATGAGCATCGATCCACGCAATTATGACATGCATCAACCAAGTCAGCGAGCCTGACAACCCGATCCGTTAATCGCCGCTTACGACAAGCACAAAAGATGAGTTCTAACCCAGATCTTCACGGGTCGCCGTATAAGCAATGTGGCAGTAGTAGTATATTTATCAATGATGCCATCTTTGGTAACACATGATGTCATATTGGACATCTGTGTTATTATAAATTATTAGGAAAGCGTATTCTGATCGTTATGGAATTTGGGATCCAAACCAGTGACCAGCGGATCACGTCAGGGCTAAGGGACGCAACCCAATAAATTGTAGCTACTACACCTTAGCCACCCGTGTAACAATATCAGTCAGTTCAAATTGGCATTCTAGACACAGATATACACAAGAGGTTCACATATTGTATATACAAGTCTCACCTCGCCTCTAATAGTTTGGAAAAGCTTTTCATTACATAGTTTAAGGTCATAATAAAGGCTGGTAGGAGATGAGGTCAGGGAGGACGATACCTACCAGGCGCCCGATGCACCTGATTGGCACTGCCCGCGCGGTGCTTCCGGTGTTGGACTTCTTTACGGTAATTCACCAGCCTGGAATCAACTTATTAATTCCGGCGATGTCAGTGCAGAACGACAGGAGCTAAAATCGGTATTCGTGCCGCATAACGTGTTCCAAGAAACGATGTTACCTCATTATAATCCGCATTAACCGCTGGTGATAAACCTTGTCGTCTCCTCGTGTTCAAGACGTTTCCACTTATATTGGTGTGTGTGAACAATGCATCATCAAAACGCTCGCCTGCCCTGATACTATACAATACGGAATCGCCCATCCTTGCCAGCAAGAAAACGAACTTAACAAATGACGTTGCGTTCGTATTAGTGGTTTGTATGCGCAACTTATAACGAGGAAGAGTTGTGTTATTTTAGCACGTGATGTGAGGTTTATGGCGACAACAGAAGATAATCAATCAGAGCGTTATTGTCCTCTTTGCAACCGTTTTGCATATGTCTTGAGACAGCAAGGCTGTGATGGTTTATTCACAGTGTTTATCGACAGAGATGCTTATGTAAAGGTGCTATTTAAAACGTTATCGGTGTATTGATATCGGAAGCAATCACTTTGCTTTGACTATAGAACGAGCATAGTTACTAGCGCCGTACACAGACATACATTTTGAACCTTCACATAAAATAAATATATACATTATACGCGGTGACTTCTTTGATCTTAATGGTGCATGCCGTCAAAATGTATCTTGATTTAAAGGATCAATACCGATTTGTTGTGAATACTGGTATGGTGATGATGATGATGGTATCTTGATTTCAAGGATCATCGTCGATTTGTTATATATAAAGCAACAATGTATATGATGACGGTGATAATAATAATAATGATAATAGTAGGAAAAATGTAGAGGGGTTATGAGGGGATGAGGGCCCTGAGCTGATGTTGAGCCTATCAAGCCTGATTGTGACAGGATCACTCGAATCCTCTATACTGCATTTATTTATTTATTTTAATATCTATAATAAACTAAAAAAAAATGTTTTTCTTTCTTACAGGCTACTCAGAAGAACAGACACAGTCCGAGGGTCAGGATGAACCTGCATCCAGGGAGAAGCGAGGCCTCAACATGCTCCGTCTTGGGCGTGGACTACAGATGCTGCGTCTGGGGAAACGCGGGGGGTTGAACATGCTACGTCTCGGCAGATCTTCACCCAGCTCTGAAGAGCTATCGGACTATTTATATGACATATTGCAAAATGAATATTTGGTTAACCCTGAAGTATTAAACGGAGAAGATGATGTGATGTACCCCGACTCAAGTCGCTACAGGCGATCCGCTGAAGGTGACCGTGCCGTTGCTCTACCTAGGATAGGGAAAGATGAGGAGGAAGAATACGCAGATGAGTATGAGAAGAGAGCTTTGTCTATGCTGCGTCTTGGCCGCTCTGGGGAAGGAATGGAAGATGAAGTAGTGGGCCTGGTACCAGAAGACGAAGAGGAGAAGAGGGCTCTTGGCATGCTTCGGCTCGGAAAACGACCAATGAACATGCTCCGTCTTGGAAAACGACCAATGAACATGCTCCGTTTGGGAAAGCGACCAATGAACATGCTCCGTCTTGGAAAGCGTCCAATGAACATGCTCCGTTTGGGAAAGCGACCAATGAACATGCTCCGTCTTGGAAAGCGTCCAATGAACATGCTCCGTTTGGGAAAGCGACCAATGAACATGCTTCGTCTTGGAAAACGACCAATGAACATGCTCCGTTTGGGAAAGCGTGAAGATGAAACAGAGGGGGAAGAAAAGAGAGCCCTTGGTATGCTCCGCCTCGGTAAACGGTCGGACGAGAAAGTTGATGGAGACGCTGGTGTTTCTACGCAACAGTGATGCTCTAAGCAATAATCGGGAACTTTCGGTAGTTTCCGTCCCTCCCTACAAACCCATCAAAACCGCTTCATGGAATCAAACAATCAGCTAACATCATGTGAATACCGAAATCGTGGTCATATGTGTTTCAAATACAAAGAACTTACTGAAAACAATATCCCATATAAACTTAAGTTGACTCAGGACTATTAATATAGTTCCAGGCTTTTGTACTCCTGTTCAAATACCGTGAGGTCAGACTAGAGTTGACACGGATTCTTTCACATTGAAACGATGTGACGGTGGACAAAATAAAAAATATGCTTCAGATGATCGCTGTGGTAATCTTGATTTCAACACTACTGTCAATATCACAAATGAAAACTATCTATAATGTACAGTATCAAATACAGATGTATTATTTCGTGTTATATCATATTCGTTTTTACCAAACAGGGGCTGAAAGAGAAATAAAATATGTTGTTTATATGTTTATTTTTGGATTTCTTACAATCGGCTTTAACAATGCGCCACGTTATTATAATGTAGCACTAAGGACCATTCTACTTTGACATTTTAGAATTCTGCATTCTGACTGGTCTGTCAGCGCTATGGAATTGAGATATAAACCTAGTGTTTTCAATGTAGACGTTTCGAACGTAGATTCGATACCTGTAAGTTTCATTCTAGACAGAACTCGACAGCGTGAGATTTCGATTTTGAACACTTTTACTTTGAAACTTTGAAACTGAAAACACATATAACCATTTCCATGACACAATGGCAAAGCAAACGCGGATGGCGGTTTAGTGATCTTGCATCGGTTGAATCAAATTTGTTTTAGTTTTCAGTGAAGATAGGTTTTAATCTGCATACATGTTTGCTTTATGTAACCAAATCATACTTTTCACCAAAATACTTGAACCACTTCAATCAGAAACAACAACATCGCTAAGGCAGAGATCCTGTAGGCATTTTCAAACTGACATGTCCAGAGAAAATAAAGCGACCTTTATGTCCTTCTGAAGTACACAACACTGTTACGACGTCCTAAAGTTCTACAGATGGGACGTCTAAGTAGACATGACATCATGGAATCCGACAGAGTAGCGCCAAAAGTCAGGTCATTGAGGATGCTAAATTTTAGTATACACTCTCTAAGTATTGTTTCGTCAAGTTTTCTCCCTAAAACTATTGCCATCTTGTTGTGAATAATGTAGAAATCGTAACACGTTATTCAGCAACATTAACGAAGTCAGATCAGTATTTGATATGGTCGAAAAGGCAGTGCTTCTGATTAAAAAATATTCTAAATGTGATCATCAGCAAAATCATGGTCTCACGTAGACTGGGTACCTGAAGATCAGGATTCTAAAATATCACGGTAGTACCTACGTTAGGTTTATCTCCTCATTCAGACTTGAAAATAAGAAAAGAAATTAAATTTCTAAATGAGTGGGAAAGTGATTGATTAATGTTTATGCCAGAGTCAGCAACATGACATCTTATCAAATATCGCAACGATCCACGAAAGGACACACTATCAACAATATGACACACTGTATCCACATGTTTTTCGGTTTACGACAAGCATGTCTACTCTCGAAAACTGAATAAAAGCGACAAAACCATTTCCAAATTCAAGAATGAATTCCCTATTTTGACTTGTACCATACGCTCCCGTGTGTTTCAGGTGAACAATTGACTTGCATGTGCATGTGTTTGTGTCGGGTGCCACCAGTGGGACATATACGCTCACCTTTTCGCGAACACATGGTATCATTAATATTTTATAATGCTTTATAAACACATGCTCATGATAAAGTCGGAATCGTACAATCGACTCTTTTACAGAGATTTCTTGTGAATATGGAAAGGGTTTTGTCGCTTTTATTTACGAATCACTATCAAATGGTGATGATGTCGTGTGGTTGCGACAAAGTGAGCGTGTTCCTGCCCATCGGTGGTAAATACATTGTCCGACAACTTGACATTATTTCAAAGGTTCATTAGACTTCGAGTTTATTATTCTTCAGTGTACTTAATTAACAGTTGAAAATTCAGACCAACGTTGTCCACGGGGATTGTCTGGTGCCTGTATTCAAAGAGAACGTCAAAGTTTTCTCCAGACAAGTGGGTGCGAGGGCTCCCACACAAAGACATGATTCACAGTACATCATAATGTCACGAACAGCAATAACGACCATTACAACAGCGCACTAAAGAGGATGTTTGAGTGCATAGTTCTTAGTTTAGCACCAATCTAGCAAGTGCAATAACTGCCGGAAGTCGTCTGCTGTCTGAAGCCCAGGTGTGGTTGACATTGGGATGACGACACTGTATGTAACACAACTGCGCCACACATGGTAGATCGGCGTCCACCCTTTACCTAATTACCGGTTAAACCCAATTGGCCAGCTGGTCGAGCTTCAGGGCAGCCGAAGCTTGTTAACCACTGACGTACTCACAAAACATGCCCCACAATACCTAAAACACATTGTGAAGAATGAATTTCTTATGGTCATAACTTTCCGGTGTCCCCCGCCGTGATATTATTCGAATATTGCTAAAAGCGGCGTATAACCACACTCACTCACTCACTCACTCACTCTTATGGTCAGTAAGTGTGCCTCAGTCCACTAGATGGCTTGTTTCTTTCTTTCTTTCTTGGTTGCCTGTTTAAAATGGGCTCTTCACTGAAAGAAGGAGAAAAGGATTGCTAAATCATCGGATTTAGTTGTACGGAATTACGTCCCGGAGTCCTGCCAGGATCCGATGCCAGGGTTCGAGTCTCAGATTCGTTCTAATTATGTTTATGGGTTTTCCAGCATCATATAATCATGTACATGTACCCCGAAGGCAGCTTTCACCAACATGGTAAACGCCTCCGACCTACGTCGTATGTTCTCCCACTTTCACCTGACACGCTTCCGTCCTGTGTAAACCGGCGTAAATCACAAACTCACTTATTCATTGCATCAAGGCCGGTTCTTTGAGTGAGATCGCATCTGTAAGTGTCACAAAGGCGGAAAGACCAAAGCCACATAGGTCATAGATGTTTACAACTTTGGTAAAACCCACGACACAAGTATGCACTAAACGGGTAAGTCTGGTGTGAATTCGAAATCATCTCCTGAGGATCCTGCCACGGCTGAGGGACGCAACCCTGAATCCGTTCGTCTCCCCCGCTTGAAACCAACATCAAGATTCTTATATGTATAAGAAGGACAAACTATATAAACTAAAATATCCGTTAAACCTTTTTTAAACACTCAAATAATAACCGGTGTCATTTATATCCTGATGATTACAAACATGTGGATTCAATGGTAAGGGAGTATGAAGCACATGTAGACGCTGCCAGCTCAAGGATCTCCAGTTCAATGCCCCAACAACGTTGACATGATCATCTACAAGGTGGATCAGACACTGTTTTGAAGGGGAATTTGCCCGCTTTCCTACACACAAACCTCTGTCCGCTGAAGCCTTGTTGATCCCGAAGTTATCGTTGAGACGGAAATATGATACGACCCTCACGATAGCGGACATCAGGACAAAATAATTATGTTATAGATTGCATTTCCCTTTTACAAATGTCAGTTCATTCCTGTCTCTTCAGGGTTTGGTAGTCCAGTGGGTTAGAGTTCGCTCGTCACGCCGAATGTCTGGGTTCGATTCCCCATATGAGTACAATGTGCAAAGCATTTTTCTGTTCTCCCCCAGTGATATTGCTGACAAATTGCTGAAAACCCTTAATAATTCACTTTTCATGTATGTACCTACTTAAGTTACTTATTCGTATCAAGCAAGTTCATCATACATGCCATAATATTTATAGATTTTAAACAAACACAATAGACAGATAAAAGCAATTTTAAAGTAAGATGTGTGTAACTTCGAGTCTTCGTTCCGGTGGAGACACTCTACCACTGAAGTGTTTCACTGAGAGCACTTCAACCAGTCAGTTGTTGAATCAAACGTGAATGGCTTTCGGCAAGTGAATTCATTTGTCCAACTACGATGGGCCTAAGATTGCCTGTCGACAAATACCAGTAAATAACGAGGTTTATAAGATATAGCAAACACTGCCAGGCGCTCGTCGCTTCAGAGAGCATCACGCTGCCGGAATAATAGAGATTTCATGCATAACCAAACCTTGTTCAATATACAAACTAGTGCACTAGCTTTCGCTCAGTGCTGGACACAGGGAACGGTCGGGGTACGATGACACTGTAGCAACCCAGCAGTGGGGTTGCCTGGTGGGTAAAGCTTTCGCTCGTCACGCCGAAGACCCAGGTTCGATTGGCCAATGGGTAAAATATGTGAAACCCATTTCTGATGTCTCCCGCCGTGATACTGCAAGAATATTGCCTAAAGCAGCGTAAAACAGTACACACTACTGTACACACTACTCGCTCTATCCCCGGATCACCAATCCTAACCACCCGATCTTTATTTAGTCGCCTCTTTCGAAGCGGATACATGTAGGTTGTAGGATCTTTTCTAACCCGGAAATAACACGTTACGACCATGTTCAAGGGTGCAAATCCTAGAGTCGCCCTGATTTTGATTATTAGTCAGTATAAAGAATGGTTCTGTTTCACTGTTTTCGACCTCATTAATCTGATAAGCCGTTATATAATTGATACTGTTCACTAGTAACCTTAAAACTTACCTCATTCACTCACAACAATATATACTATTTTTACCTAATATTCGTCGATATATTCATTTTGATGTATGGTAGAGATACATAACATGTTAGATTAACCAGATTAATAACAATTACTTTGTTAATTTGATAAGCATCTATTTTTTTTTATAAATGTTCACACCAAACACAAGTGGTATAACATTAAATACTAGATATCAAGGAACATGTAAATTGCATGTTCAAAATAGACATCCTGTTGCATCGGAACTCTGACAACTCTATCTATATTTCACACAAAGTATTTTTAGACCTAAGAAAACGATTTCACGTAATCACAAAATTATGCGAACTCACAATGAAGAAAGTGGTCGCCTACCAGGTTGAATGATTTATCGACAATAACACCGCCCACCATCTGTACCGGAAGGCCAGTGGGCGATACAGATTACCCCCGCATTACAATGGGACCCATTACCTTGTGTAAACTGAAGGAACTAATCATTAAGGTCAAAAGATTGAGTCTTGTCACACAGATAATTTGTGTCTTGACTTCAAGAGTTTGATATAAAACCGTAATGAGTAAATATGTCTACTTTAAACGGGTTGTTCAACTGATGTTGGAGAAGGCGGTTAATGAGTTCTTTGACAGAAGGCCTACATGACATATCCTTTTGCGTTTGTTTATATACACCAAGACGAACATCGGCCAGCATGTCGGTGGATGTACGTAGAGTAGCCGTAGCGAGAGTCAAATAATTCAACCCTTTTTGTTTGTTTTGGGGGTTTTTTTGGTTGTTTTTTTTTGTTTTTGTTGTGTTTGTTGTTGTTTGGTG